AAAAAAAAAAAAAAAGTGTGGTTAGCTCAGTTGTTAAAAGTACCTGTTCGGACAAGCTCAGACAGGTTCAGGGGTCGGCAGTTTGATCCCCAGTTCCACCCACACTCCACACCAGACCTGCACTTAAGACAGCCCATGCCAATCGAAAACAAAAAATTCTCAAGTTTTTAAGGGCCGGGAAAATAGCTCAGCAGATTAAAGTGCCTGCTTAGGCAGATGCAGGAGCCTGGAGTTTGATTCCTGGGCCTGTTATGCCTGTCATACACCCAGAGCATGCTGAGACTGTGATTGAGACTGGGCATGGTGGCAGGCCATAATCCCAGTGCTTGGGAGGCTGTAAACAGGAGGATCACTATGAGTCCTATCTATGCAGTTATCCCCTGTCCTAAGTACAGAAAAAAAAGAATAAAAAGTATGTGAATAATTACTTAGACTTTGACTTTAATTTAATAATTAGTTATTTGGCAACTAGTTTTATTAAATATTTTATTGTATAGACTAAAATAATTTAGATGTCTATGCTTTTTTTTTGTTTTGTCTTTTTTCTTTCTTTGGTGGAACTGGAGATTGAACTCAGGCCCTTGCACTTGACAGGCAAGCGCTTATTCTACTGAGTCATCTCCCCAGCCCCAAAAATAATCCATGTGCATTTTGAAAAATTATACACAATTTTGGACAGAATGTACTTCCTGCTTTGATAATTGAAAAGTTTGATATTAATATTTCCAATCTCATTTTCCAATTTTTGGTTTTTGGGGGATTTTTGTATTTTTAGGGAAGGATCTATAGAAAGGGTGTTCAGGGTCTCACTACTAGATCAGACTCGCAGTGATCCACCTGCTTACAGCCTCCCAAGTGCTGGGATTACAGGCATGCGCCACCAAACCATCTCAGTGCACCCCGGGAGTGGGGCCAGCATGGATCGAACCCCCAGTCCTGCACCTGGCCTGATTGTAGGCTTGTTAATCTGCTGAGCTATTTGGCTGGCCTCCAATTTTTGTTAACTTGCACAACATTAATGTTCATCACACTCACATTCCATTTTGTAATTCTGTTGTTTCTTGGCTGTCAATCCATATTTAAACTGAGGGAATCTCTTCACAGTCCTCTTACCACAACTTCCCCTCCTGAGCTCTTCAATTCTGAATTGGATAGCTTCCACTTCAAGTGGTATTACTTACAGTAGCATTCACATGTATACCCTTCCCTGAGTTGCCTCATGTTTAAGACATCTGCTTGCTACCTTTACAGGTGAACGACCTCTTGGCTGGTCCAATGTGTGAGGCCCATCATTTCTTACAGGCACTGCTCCCTCAAATGCTTCAGGCATTGAATGTTGCCATGAAGAAGTCTAAGGCCAGGTGTTTCCCCCTTTTATTGGCTTGCTTTCCTACCAGGAAGCCTGAAGATTTGTCAATCAGTCTCATTCTTTTCCCTGTCCTTCCCCTTTTCTTCCTCTTCCTCTGTCTCCCTCTTTTTCTGTCTTGCTATGAAGTAAAGACACAATGCTGCATTTTATCAAAAGTAAAAATGACTTAAATCCATCCAGAAAAAAATTGTAACAATCTGACAGAATTTTGGTTGTGAATGGTGTTTCCTAAGGACTTCCAAGCACACACAAACACCTTAAGTACCTGTCATCTTGAGAAAGAAGGAAAACCCGGAAAGCAGAAAAACAGGTCTCCAGATGCTCCAAACCACATCTCTTTCAAGTAACATGCAGGATGCTGGATCTATATCTGAGTGCGTTTTGCTCCTCCTCAGTCAGCTTGTTGGCCCTAACAGCTTAGAGATACCTAAGGGCTGACTGGGTCCTACAATCAAGCTAAGGTGAACTCTTAGAGATACTTATGCAAAGAGTCAATTTTTCAGGTCACAGAGAAACAAATATAAGACAAGAACAGTACTGATAAAATATAACATAAGAAATTCCAAGAAACAAATTCTACCTCCTCTGAGAAATAACAGAACATTAAATAACTACTTCTAAGTCCTGGACAGCAGACAAACAAAGACAAACTTCTTCAATTTAGAAATAGATGTCTTCCATAGAGCTACAGTTATTTCTCACAAGCCCCTGAGTGATGGCTAGAACATAATGACTTCCCACACTACAGGCCACTTTCTCCACCATCCTCAGTGGTCTGGTAAACAATGACAGACCAAAGTAAAAGCTCCGCGAAGTCTGGACCTGACCTCACCTAATGGGAACATAGGACTCCCTTTATACAGTTCATCATGTTCAGCTGAGACGGCCTAGCAGAGGCAAGCTGTCTTCAAGATAGTAACTCTCCCAATAGTCTGTATATAAAAGTAAATGGAGTGGAGGAGAGTGAATGGGAAGCTGTTTCAGATGCCTGGCTATGTACTGCCACCTGAAGAAATGGGACTGAGCAGAAGCACCCTGGACACCCCTTGAATGTTACATCTTTATTTAGGTTGTCTTCAATTGTACCAAACCAGATTTCCATTTCTTGAGCATCCAAAATTGGAAATACTTATGCCATGTTGTGTATTTTGTAGAACAACTGACATCAGTCATGTTATTGCAGAGATTAAAAATGAAAGATGTTAGAAACCCTGATAATTCCAGAGCACTAATTAAAGAAAAACATCACAGATCCTGATAGTGAAATTGCTAAAACTAGTGTTTGGTGTCCTTGACATGCCCTCTAGGAAAAATGTGACTAACAATCTCACACTATGCAGTGATGTGTACACATCTGCAGCATTTCAGTGCTGCCTTTTATCTACAAATTAATGGTAAGAAATATACCTGGATTTGTTCTGTGTGTAACAAAAAAGCTGCCCATGAAAGCCTAATGCTATATGGGC